TGGAAATAGAGTGCGCATTTTCGTGACTGCCACAAATTCTGCGGAAGCAAAAAGTTACGGACTCCAAAGGGTTAAGGAGCATGCGGTTATGGGTTTCTAGCTTGTTCAATACAGTAGTAGTTATGCCAGACCAAGCAGTATCACAGTAGCCAAGTAAGGGCAATATAGAGCAACGATAAAACAAGCGTTTGCAAGAAAGAGGAAGATGTCTACAGTGGGCTTGAAGAGCCCCAAGGATGGAGCTTGTGCGCTTGCAGACATACTGCACATGGGGTGACCACGACAATTTAGAGTCAATAATAACGCCAAGATGCTTATGCTCTTCAACAATACGAATAGCAACACTTGAAGAAGGAAAACAAAGTGGCAGGGAAGGGGGAGAAGGGGAAATGTACATAGCTGCCGTTTTATCAACGTTTGGCTGCAACTTCCAATCATGCATCCAGGTTATAACTTTCCCAATGCTATCTTGCATGGCTTCGTGCAATCGTATAGGGCAAGCATTGGAGCAAAGCAGAGCTGTGTCGTCAGCGAAAAGGCCTACACCAGGGGCAATATCGGGGAGGTCATTAATATACAGGAGAAATAGCAGTGGCCCAAGGATTGAACCCTGGGGGACTCCAGAAGTAACGGGTAAAGGCTCCGATAACACAGTTGAGAGGCGTACAAGCTGATGTCGGTTAGAGAGATACGATGAGAGCCAGCCGATAGCCTTGCCATCAATGCGATATACTGTTCGCAGCTTAGCTAAGAGACCCCTGTGCCAAACAGTGTCAAAGGCCTTTGCGAGATCGAAGAAAACTAAACCAACATGGTTATGGGCGTTCCGGGCGGTGTGGATGTCTTGCACGAGGCGGGTAACCTGGTACTTGGTGGAGTCACCCCGACAAAAGCCCGACTGTGCTGGCGAAAGTGAAATGCGAACATGAGCATAAATGATGTCATATACAACACGTTCGCACACTTTTGATAAAGTAGAGAGCAATGAGATAGGGCGATAGTTGCTGGGGGTGGTGCGTGGTCCTCTATTTTTGTAGGTGGCCACGAATACCGCAGTTTTCCACATGGCTGGGAATTTCCCTTCGCGAAATGACATATTCAAGATAATTGACACAGGATAGGCCACAGACGGAGCAAGAGCTCTCCAAACTTCGTTGGTAATTCCGTCTTGACCAGGGGACTTGCCAGTTTTCAGATTACGGAGATATTTCCTCACTTGGGCTGTACCAGTCGACAATGATAGGACGGACGGAGGTATTGAGGGTGAAGGGGTGAGTGGTGGTATAGGCCACGTAGGATCGTCGAAAAGTAAGAAACGACGTAAACTGCGTGTTCAATATGTCTGCTATGTCTGCGGGATCTGTTGCTACCGTGCCGTCTGAAGCTTTAATTGATCGGATCGGCTCCCGACTACAGTTCTTACGGAGATGGCGGAGAAATTGATGGAGACTAGGGCGATCATGGGAAGACAGGGTGGCATGAACCGACTGTACATACTGACGATGGAGGGTACGTGACAAACACATTTCACTTCGTTACGCTTGCGCTTAAAGGCAATGAAGTTTTCACTGGTTGGATACTTCCTATAAATGCTATACAAATCTCGCTTCAGTTTCACAGCACACTTGAGGTCCGGAGTGATCCAGGGTCGGGATGCATCCCGCATAGTAGGACGAGGCCTAATGTAGTCTCCTGTCCGCGGAATAACTTTGTAAGGCAACAGATAACGATGGAATGCTGACTGTGGTAAAGCATCAAACAGGACAATGGCATCATCAACATCAGAATGCCGATGAAGTAATGACCAATCCAACCTAGACAAGTCTTCATTCACAACCTGCCAGACACGGGTAGGCACTTGTTTATACCTGTACTGAGCCTGGGGATGGAGGGACGATTTAGCAGTCGCTTGTGGTGTCGAGCACGATGCATAGTTGAGCGTACAAACAACCTGCAGATGATCAGATGTGCCAAGAGGAGCTGCGTGGTCGACTGAGAGGACATGTCGGGGTTTGTTGGTTACCAACAAGTCAAGACATGAGTTGGCACCCGCTGATGAAGTGTATGTTGGGAAACTCACTAGTTGTTGGAGCCCAAGCATTGAAAAAACTGTCTGGATGGTGGTTGAGATGTGTGCGTGAAAGGGCTTCTCGAAGAAGGTGTACAGTGCTGTCTGTCCATGACCAGAATGTGGTGCTTCTGGATCGTGGAGGGGAGTTGTTAATTAGGGGGGGGGGGGGGGGCAGTTGATTATTGATGTGGCCACTGTTAGTAGTGTGATTAATATGTGTGTAGAAGAGTTTGTATGTCGTCGCCAAGGCGATCTGTTCTGTCTGTGGGGAGCCACGCACTGTTCTTGGCATTAACGTCTCCAAGTAGTAGGAAATTGTGTGGGATATTGCTTTGGGTCCTTGAATCGGGGTTTGACCGTATTCAGTGTCCAATGGTCTTGCCAATATCGTCATCGACATGCATGAACATCCGGCAACGTCCTTCACAGCTGAGCTTTTCAGCACGTGCTTATCTTGCTTGCGCTCGCCTTCCCCTCCTTATGGTTTTTCTATAACTTAGAACCTTCCAAGTTGGAAGGCTGTTGGATCGCGCATCCAAGATGTGCTAGAGCTGATTGCCAGTTAGGTGTAGAATGCCAGTACCGTCGGTCTGTCGGTTGGTCAGTGTCGTGCAATGCTATCGCACGAGCTGATTGTAAAGAAACTGGTGGTGTTAGTGGACAATAGCGTGACTTGTAGCTCCTTGGTCCTTTTTTCTTCTTACAATTAAAATAATTCACAGAAATTGAGTGTCAGTATACACACATAACAGCCATTTCTATAATAAAAATAATTTGCGCCACTTGAATGCCTTTATTTCTATACATTTCGTCATGTATTTTCCTTCATCTATCTGTGAGAGCGGGATCTATGAAACGGTGAGAAGGCAATTGTGCCGGTGCATTTGGTGAAGTAAAATACAAGTCAACACCACCACCAAGCAAGGTACTGTAATGGCCAAAGCACAATATTGCAAACATGACATTTCCAAAGATTCCAGTTTTGCCGGCCACACCATGGAAGCAGTGAATATAGAATGTAATAATTATCATACAAAGACAAGCAAGCAAGTATAGCTGCCATACACCAGAAAATTGTCAGAAAGTCATAATCCAAGAGATAGAAAACTGATTCAACTGAACAGCAAAACGGTACAGCTCACACAAGAAAAAGCTGACATCATCCTCATCCGAAGATCGCAAGCGGCAGATCCTTTTCAATGCATAGCATGCAGGTGTATGTTGCACGCATGGCCAAAATCTGACCGTGTCGCAGGCATCTATTCTCATCACATGCATACCCCACAGCGCGAGCTTGCGAGTTAGATGATTTGAAGGCAACAGCGTTGTGAATCGGCTACGGTCTTCAGTGTTTGTTCAGCTACTCTATGAGCAACACTGCACTGACTCACGCTGCTATCTGGTGTTCACGAGGTATTTTTCGCCCTGGAAGCAGAGCGAGTCTGTAAGTTTATATCCCTGGTGATGGTTTAGTCTGGAGAGCACTATAATTCTAAGTGGCGCTCTTTAGACGATATCTTCCTCTGCCTACTCAAGCTCAACTGATGAGGGGTGAGCATGGACCGCCTCCACATGCCTTTTTGCTACGCTACCAGGAGTGACTTTACTCCCTCGCACCCAGACGCTGATTTTTTTTGAAAGAATATACTTCCAATTGGAGAATCCGACGTTGCAGTGCTTTTCGTCAGGGCCAGGTCAAATTGTAGGATATCACATTGAAAAGGAACGAAACGAGACGGAACCAACACATGCTGCCCTCGAATCGTTTTCAAACCATTAACACAAGGACGGCAAATCGTCAACCATTTACCTGGAAACGGACAATCAGGCAGGAGTTGGGACGTGCTGGCCTAGCGCAAGGGTAGGAAGTAACACGCTAGTTGGAGTTGGCTAGCTCATGAACGCTGTTGGAGTACGTGGTTTGAATATTTCCCCTACACGTGAAATGATTTCCATGACCGCGTTCCGTTTCCAATCGCTTTCAGCATTAACACGAGAACGAAAATGTTTTGAAAATATTGCAAAACACTTCGCGTTTCCATTTCGTTCCGTTCCGGAGCATAACCCACGAACCAACGCAAGCCCCCAACAACGCAACACAGGTGGACTCCATTGGTGCCCAAGGCTGACCGGTGCAACAATGATGAATGTCTCTAGAAAACGTGTTCGGAAACTTTCTTATCCATCTTTTATTTTTCTACATTACTACGTCCAATGTCCGCTTCGCTGATTCTGCTTATTGCCTTATTAAACATTAAGTTCTCCACACAACGATTGTAGAGGGAGTTTGTTGAACTATGCTGTTCATTAGCCATCCACTGTTTGCTACCACCACCCTGCAGCCTCTCACTGCAATAAAAAGACAGTAGCCTGTTGGGACTCCCCTAGTAAAATCATAAAAAACTACTACAGTCAGGCCTCGTTTATCCGGATCCCTCGCCATCCGGTAGAAAATCGGTGGTTACCGATTTACCGCATATGCCATGCGCACATACAGTATGTGTGTTCGATAATCCGGTTCCCTCGCCTATCCGGATATTTTCTGGAAAACAGATGTGTGCGGTTATGCGAGGTCTGACTGTACTACTACTATGCAACTCCAAGTTAAGTTTAGCCTTTATCTTGGGGAAACCTTTTGAATTAATGAGAGTCCTCCCGCTCGGTAGAGTGCTCAATGTTCGTTCAAATAGAGCTATACTACACAGGACACAGAGCATCACGCATCCTTCGTTGCAACAAAGATCCATGCCCTCATGCAATCATGATAAGTTGTCTGATGATTGCGGATAGGCATGAAATTATTTAGTTACAACAAATGATGCATGGCGTTCTGTGTCCTGCGATGGAAGTCTTTAAGTATAAGTTTACAAATCCCTGTAGGCTTTGTAATACCTATATGACCACTCTCCGTAGACTTAGAGGTTGCAAATAGGTTTGAATAGTCTCTTGATCATAGGTTGATGCATATAATATATACATATATACATGTATCACCACCAATATGAGATCAGAGAAAGGAAGAGAGAGAAAGAAAAGGCAAAAAACGAAGAAAACTGGGGAAACTCCTTCTAGCATTTGCTGTGCAGATTACGGTCTAATCATATAAGATAGGAAGGTATTCTACGACTGTGTCGCTATCAACGATGAAGCAGGCATCCATCACCATATTGTGACTATGGCTGCTGAGGGTTGTTAGAGGTGAAGGGAATACCATAATATTATGGTGTCTTGTGCACGTTCTGTGTTGTTTTCACGGACTGGACACTAATCCGGACATCAGCTCCCTGCAGATTAATGGTTTATGGCGACAGCTACCAGACAGAATTGCCCTCTTTCACTGCAAACACAAACAGGAACACACACATGCACACACGCACACGCGCGCGCGCACACACACACACACACACATTATACACACACATATACATGCACACACACACACACACACACACACACACACACACACACACACACACACACACACAGACACACAGACACACAGACACATGCACACACATACACATGCACAGACACGCACACACACACACACGCCAACACAGAAACAAAGCTTGCTCCCATGCTAGATAGTCAAGTTCACCAAATTCTCACCCACGGAAAGCCACACCAGATGACAAAATACGAACTCAGTGATTTCCCAATGCTAAACATGCTCGGTGACCCCCTGGCCACATTCACTTCGGTCGGAATATTGGCGTTGCAACTAAGACGCTGGGCTGTAGCGCTGGCGTTTTGAACTTCGCGGGAAGTGTGGGCTCAACGTGTTCTTCTTGCAACAAGCTTTTCAGGAAGCCCAAGATTGAACATATCGTCAAAAGGAAACCAAAGCTATGGCCCGGGGAATTATGGAATTTAAGCTGAATTTGCTGGAATGCCCAGAGCATTTCGTTTATGTGAGAAATTGATCCAGATCTGACTAGGTGATGCTTTTATCCTCACACCACGGCTGTTTGTGCGTGGCCACTGGGCAAAATGGCGTCGTATTTGGTTGCCAATGGAAACGGAGTGCACTGCACTCAAACGAGATCGATGATCCACACTTTTTCAAAAATTAATGGTCTTGACTTTTTGAGCGGCCTTTGGCTTTGTAGTTTCTAGATTGTCATTTTCTAGGTTCTTGTTTCCAATGCTTGTTGTAGAATGGTGTGCTCAGAGGAGCACGGTGTTTTGCCCACCAACCACCCGCTCAGTGACTACCTACTAGATCTAAATATTCTATATTCTACCTATCCTAACTGAGCGCTTCAGAAATAATAGAAAGACAGAGATGCTTGAGAAGAAGAAAATGACTGAAAATGTTGTGCAATGGAATCTAAAAAGGACTCTTGATGTCGCGATGGACCTGAAGACCGCGTGCGGATGAAGTGTAGGAGAGCAGCTGCTCATGAAGCTGGTTTGGTCTTCTTCCTAGCTCCTGGAGCAAGAATGTGGCGGTTGTAATCAGGTAAAGTAGATAACAAGTATTGAGTCATCAGGACTCGCAGCCGGTCGATGTCCCTGGGCAGGTTATCCAGTGACCGTCTGAGTTTGTTGAAACGGGCGTGAGTACCCTCGCCACCTTGCTCTCCGAGTACGCCAAGGCCCACGCCAAACCTCTGCATGCATGGGACCGTGTGATACTCAAGTATGTGGAGTTTTGGCGTGACTGTTTTATTGTGTCGAAGTACCACTTCTGTTCTGACAGAAGAAAGGAAATTATCTATCTCTTGCTTCAGAACTGTAAGGTCTTGTGCTGTCACTTTTTTAGTGCCTGCAAATAACGCTCTGCATCTTGCATAGTTGTTGAGCAGACTTCTGTACCTGGTCTGTATGCCTTCTGCTTGTGTGTGGAGCTTGTCCTGTGCTTGTGTGTTAGCTGTTGCTCTGCCCTCCGGGTTGGTGAGACTTCGCACAGTATTCAAAGGTGCAGAGACTATCGCTTCTGTAACTTCAATTTGCAATGCCTTATCCACATGATTCCCCACAAATGCACCCGAGTGGTATGCCTGCCTATCAATACGATTTGCTTTGAGAACAGGCTCGAACGAGCGGCTGCATGGGCCCATGCTGACTTTGGCTTGTTCCAGAATATTTTGGAGCCTTTCAACTTGAACACGGAGCTCTGCAGCTCGTTTTTGTTGAACGGCCCACATCTGATGCATAGCACCTGCACGTGCAATGTAGTGGGAATAGTCGGTTGTGCCAACTGTGGCGTTTTGTGCTTGCATCACAAACCATTGCAGTTGAGTTTATGTTGCCTCAGCTTCAGCTGAGGCCTGGTTAAGGTTTTCCATCATTTCGTTAAACTCTCTTTGTTGCTCGGCTATTGCATTGAACTCAGCACTATCTGTTATGCTCTGGCCTGACCTGGCGATACTAAGGTCTAACGAGTCTGTGTCCCGGATCATAGCTTCGTATAACCACGGGAAAATCCCGAGGTCCAGGTGCAGGACTGGCATACAGATATTGTCAAGCTCAACGGGAATGATGGTTGGGCGTATCACGTTGTTGTAGTGTTTAGCCGTAGAAAGTGCACCACCACTACCTGAAAGCCTGTCAAAGTCCTCTTTTAGTTGATCAAGGCTTCTGGGTTGAACCTCTGGAGTAAGCGGTGTTTGAAATTCGTCCTTAGTAGAAAGACAAAACAAACAAGGCCGCCGACCACTGGAACCAGACAAGCCATAACTCTTGGTCAAGAACTCGTAATCGCCAAACACAGTGAGTCTGATCCGCTTTCCATTCCACTCTGTAGTGGATAATTGTTGAAACTGGGCATAATACGGCTCCAGTGTGGTTTGCAAATTTGATGGTGAATCTTTAGCACCGAACACCAGGAAAGGGATTGTGTTGGCAAGAGAGTTAGGACTTGCAGTGTTGACAATCTGGAAGCAGAGCTTAAAGGATTCACCCCCTTGGTCACCCCCCACCTTCACCCATACTTCATCCTCAGGGATGCTACCGTCTCTCCATGTCAAAGTTCCAGAGTCTGCATGCAACTGACTATAGTGAACTACCGGCTCAACCAAGTTTTCAAAGCAGACCACTGGACACAACGTGACACTGCCCGTTTTGCTGCATAGTGGAATTTCCTGTTCAAGTAACTGAAAGGGGAGGCTATTGTTCACCTGGTGACGCGTGCACTGCTCGGATTCAAGGGGTACCCCAAACTCCCGCATGTACCGCCGCAATTTCCGAAGTGCATACCATGGCAGTTGCAAATCTGCCCTTAATGGCAAGTCCATTGCCTGGAGTGGTACCCTTTTGCAGAATGCCAGCATCCTTTAGCAATGCATCCCGCGATTGTCTAGACATGACACGAGTGTCGTGGCTTTGCTGGGCAAAACTGCCGGTAAGTCCCCCGCAGACAGTGTGCCGCAGGTGGTCCAACTCACTACTTCTACGGTGCCTGGTACGCTCAGATGCCTCCTCAGAGGACACACGCGCTGCTGTGACCCGCTCCCACACAACTGGCCTACCTCCTGTACGCTGCTGCACCTGACTACCCTCTGATTTAGCCGAAATCAGCTTGGAAAGCAACCGGTCTGAGACGTCGCCCTGTAACATAAAATCTGGTGCCTGCAAAACATCTGAAACAGGGGTGGAAGGGCAAATGCAGCGGGCATATCCAGTGCATTGGGATACATGACCCCGAAGGAAAGATAACATTATAGACTCAGAACACCCATCCATTCTACAGGTACCGGCATTGTCACAACTCAACTGATGTGCACTTGTGACAGAATAGGGCGAAGCCCAGAATTGGGTTGCAAATAGGTGGACAGCAGGGTGGGGTTGGAGCACCCATTGCAAAGCTGTGAGCACTTGTGTCATGCATATACACATGCTGCGCAAAACAGCGTTGAGCAGCACTTAGACTCAACTGCACGGTCTACGACTAAGGAGCAGATGGGGCAAATTAAGGTTTCCAACTGTGTAGAGAAACGACTGGGCAATAGCTCCATATTTGAAATATATGACGGAGTTGCTCTGCACAGTAGCTCGGAAAGAGGCATGTCTACTGCACTGCTTACATCACTGCATTGGTTTTGCTGATTTTCTGGCTTCGGCACAGAAGCTGCTTTTTTGTACGTATGAGACTTTGGGGGACGACCGCCTTTAGCAACTTTGTGCACGGTGATGCGAACACTACAGCCTACTCTCTTATGGGGCTCCCATACAACTAATTTTCCCTGCCCACAACCACCACTGCATTTTGTAACTGCACTGTCTGCACTAGATTTGTAGTCTTGCATTGCTGTTTTGCATGCTGCACAGAAGTACTTTGGATGCACATTCTCTTTATCTGCTGAAACGTCTCTCATAAAAAAATTCTTTAGCTCTGGCGCATAATCCTGGGCTAAGTACGTAGTGGACTTACGGCCACTCCGGACCGAGGGCAGCTAGCATCCTCCAACTCGGCACAACGAATTCAAATTTTCGACATGGACCTCCATGCCCATGCAAGCAATGTAACTTTGGGCAGCTCCTGCCAGAGATCGGCTTATCCTGCCGCAGCAAGCTTTGGCACACTTCTCAAACAAGCTTAGATCTATCAAGAAAAACTGTCAGCGTAGACCTAGAAACCTCCGCACACGTTAGGCACGCCGGCTAACTTGCCCTTGTTTTGGAGGGCTACGAGGGGAAAGGCGAAGAAGGAAGGTAGAATTGACGAGCGAAATGCTTTCGAAACTGCACCAACTTCGGAGTCTAGGAAGAAGACAACCTCGTGCACGCGGAAGCATCATAAAATACGTAGATTTCCTTTATTATGAGCAGCACAGACCCCTCTCAGTGTCAGTGGAAATACAGCCCGAGACAATAGAAGATGACGACGCCATTTGATCATGACTTTCTGAACGCCATTTTGAATGTCCGACTTTTACCGTAAAAAAACAGCCGTGACACATGGACAAATCGGTCGATGACATCAAAATGATTTTGACGCGATCTTTAAGGGCCTCCACATCGGTTTGGACCATAATTATATATATCACAACACGCTTCTCATCCATTTAGGCAGCAGCCGGAAGTAAGTGATCCGACCCTCTATGGCAAGGCAACGCCGCATCCTCCACAGATATCGGTTCACACAGCGGGTTACGTAGCCATCCCAAGACATGGTACTATCGAATGTGACACCAAGGTACCTGGCAGAACCCACACGTGGCAGCAGGGTACAGGCCTGTCACACCAATTTTGGAGGTTGGACAGCCATGGAAGGGGGTCCGGGGTCCGGGTCCCCGCAAACTATGTCCGGGTCCCCCCGCAAACTATGTCCGGGTCCCCCCGCAAACAATGTCCGGGTCCCCCGGAAACAATTTCCAAAAGTGAAGCCAATTGGAAACATTTCTGGGCATTTTGTGCCATTTCAATGTAACTACAATAAGAGACTTTTGGATTCTGCACCAAAGCAAGAAGACGCTATGATCGGACAAGGATTCTACATTACCCTTCCCAGGGAAAAATTAACTTAAACAATTGAAGCCAATTGCAAGCATTTCCAGGCATTTGGTGCCATTTCGGTGTAATTGCAATCTTCATTATTTGCCACGTTCGTTCTGAGCTGCGATCATCGCGCTTTGTTGCAGTGTGCTAAAAATAGCCGAAAAAGAGGGGCGGCCTCCGCCGCTGCGGCAGTGATGGCCTTGGGGTACCGTTGCAGTTCACCGGGAGAGTAGTATGCTTCTCAAGTAGTATAGGGGGAGGCAGGTTCCCAGAAATGGAGATCAACTGGCAAATACTTGTTCCTCAGTTTGATTAACATGCATGATGACCTAGCCAAAAAAGCAGAGCGAGGGTCCTGAGCTTTCAAGCTCTTTCGTCTGTTTACATTGGTGGACAGTTGGTCATAACTTGTAACATTTGATCCTTTCTTTGTTCGGCCGCATTAAATTTTCAGCCTGTACTGCTGCTGCCTGTATATGCTGTCACATTGAACTTTGGAAAACCCATTTCGGCCGCATTAAATTTTCGGCCCGTACTGCTGCTGCCTGTATATACTGTCACACTGAGCTTTGCAAAACAAAAATTCGGCCGCAACTAATTTTCGGCCAAATACGACCAGGCCGAAAATAGGCGAAAATAAATATGCCCCGAATATTTGTTGTCTTACAACAGCACCCCTCTCGAATTAGTCATGAATGAAATAGTCAATGTCCTTACCTTGTGCGCATATTGCAGTCATAGCAGAACTAGTAGGACGAGGCCTGTTATCACTGGCAATCCTTTCATGCGCTCCAATTGCTATGTCCATCCAAGCTGGTGGTAAACCAAGTTTCTTTGTAAACAGCCAGACACAGTCCATAATCGCCATTGGTGGCAGTGTCATTTTTCTGTTGCCACATTTCTGTTCGGCCTCATCATATTGGGTTCCCGTAGCACTTATCAGGTAGTAGAGGGTGTGGTTACGGCATTCGTGCTTCACCACGAGCTTATCATCCCAAGGACGCTCTGCAGGGCGATAAACATAAAACATGCTCAGAACCATTGATCTGTTCAAAACGCACCCCGATTGTTGCCAGTCACATTCGCATTCTCGTTTCACTGTGTTGTGTCCTGCCAGTCATTCCCCTGTGATGCAGCTAAACGCTTTTGAAGCTATTTTCATTCACCTGGCCTGATTTGTGTGTCCCAAAAGAAAGTGTCATCACCCTCAAACTATTCACATAGTACCTGGTCAGTCTGATATTGTCATTGTTGTCCCTCTCTCCCTCCCCCCCTCCCTTGTTCCCGAGTCATGTGATAGTTTTATAGTTTTATTTACTCTATCTGTTTGTATATGCTCACCTGGTGTGATGTTAGCTTGCTACTAGTATGCTTCTCGCTTTCTTGCCCCATTTAGTGCTATTTCATGCATTGCATTTTATTTTCTCTCCTCTTTCTGTTACATATAAGGCCACACGTTTTTATTTCTATGTATCTCGTCACCTGAAAATCTAAAAACGCATGCGAGAGGGGGAAAAAAATAAAACATGACCGAAAAATAAAAAAGTTTATTAGACCTTTGTTCTCACTAAAATCCACCAATACGCCATGCAAAATAGCATCCATAAGTTAGCAACTAGTATGTGGTAGGAGCTTCTGTCACAATCTGTGCTTGTGCAGCTAGATTGCGCACAAAAAATGCCGTCCTTGCATCATGTGTCGCGCAGGCCAGGCCACATTATGTACATGTGCATGAGTGTTGTTGTTGAATTCTTTATTCTCACGATGGCACCATCGCCAATAAGAGATAAATTTATGACTCGGAAGGTGAGATTGTGGGTTAAACAGTTGGAAAGTGATTTACATCACTTTGAACTTTACAAGTATGGGAGAGGGTGAGCGCTGCAGGGGCAGATTGAGTTAATCAGAAGTGAGCAGATTTCTTGTTTGAAGTTGTTGTTGTTGGTTTCAGTTTTATTTGAGTGTGCTGGTCCACGCATGCACAGTCAGAGCAGCACAGCGTTTTTTTTCTTTTTTTTCTTCCAGACCCCTGGATCGTATGCGCGTGGGTGACGAGAAACATAGAAATAAAAACGTTTGGCCTAAGAGTGTTTGATTAGTTTTCTATCCACTGCTATGTACGTTCACTGAAGATTGTAACGAGACTGAAACTGTTCTGAACATTTTTTTCACATGAACATTTCACATTGTTTATCTCTCACATGGTTGCTGCCATGCTAGTTATGCTTCACCAATATAATAATGGTTACTGCACAGTTTGTTCTCTTGGTTGCGATATCATATCCATAGAGAGGTGTTAGGGACAATAACAGAACATTGTTGGAACAAATAGTTGGTATTGAGCTACGCAGGATCCGTTGATGTCTATTTTTAACGCACTGTTCTAAGTCCAGTTTTGCTTCTCTCGCGTCTGATGCAAATGTGTGTTCAGTGAAGGGCAAGGAGGTCAGCTGCTTTGGGTAAGTATGCATGAGGTTCGATTATTCATGCTTCTGGTTCTGGGTGACTGTAGCACATGTGCTGGGAGTGGCATCATTGTTTCACCCGGGGAGAGGAGCATTTTATCAACTATGCCCAGACTAAGCCCTCGCCAGGCGAATCCTACACACACACACACGCATTGGGCGGCGTGTCATGAAAGGTCGTCGACATAAAGACGAATGTGGAAGGAAAGAATCAAAGGAAGAAAGAAAATAAATTTGAATGACAGGAAGACAGAAGAAAATCACAAAGCAGAACTAACCCGGGCTTCAGAAGTGCTCAGGAAATGACAAAAGAAAACTGGTCACTTATGCACAGTGGCAGGTATATTCACATGCCAGAAGGCATGGTTGTTCCAGGATTAAAGGGTCACTTACTTGTCCAGCATGTCACAATGAAGGATTCTCCTCGGTCATGTATCTTGAGATCGTTGGCACGAGCATTTGTCGAAGAGGATTTGTCCAAAACCCAGTGTTGCTTTTGTAATGTACTAAATATGTCAGTCCAGCGTGTCAGTGAGTCCAAGCAGAAGTGCTGGAAAGGGAATGGGATGATTGTCGCTGGACTATTATCACACCAGGCTACGTTTTCAGAGTATGTGAGAAACATGTCTATGCCGCTACTGAATTTAGGATCTGTAATGATACTAATGTCGTCATGGGTCCAACAAGTTCTGAATTCATTTAGATTGGCTAGAGAGACACAATGTAATGAAAGGAAAGGCAACACAAACACATTATTCGTGTCTGTTTTACAGGCCCGCAACATTTTCAAGGAGAGCGGACATTTAGAAACACTACCTTGCTTGTACTGCCCTCAGTAGTTGTTTGTGATAACAATACATGCTCTTCCGTGTGATCACCTTTCTAAGTGTACCCTGGAAATGGCTGCTGCTTGGCTAACTTGCTGGATTTTTCTCAGCCAGGTTGGTCATTCTTTGACTGCTGTGATAAATACATTTACGAGCGAAAGGAGAACGTGGTGTCATCTTCATCCGGAGCATAAAACTATGTGTCTCTGTGTTGGATCACTTCTAATTGTTAGCACATAATGCTCCAGGCACTCTCCTCGCATTCATCCGCAACCTCCTGCCAATTTTCTAAATCAAATGATATTCTTTACCGGCAGCGACACTGCGCCTACTGAACCTGGCTTCTTTCTGTTGATCGCTGAACATGGTCTTGAGCAAAGTACACGCCGTGTAACATGTGGCCAGGTCTCACGTCTTCTCCAAATTCCATTCGTTCGTGGACCAGCATCTCGAGCGTCCATGCAATTCATGAGCAGCGTGTATTGGAACAGGCTTCCGGCAAATATTCGCTGCCATGAAGATATTCTGGGTTTCAAAGCCCTGCTGTGCCCAGATGTTCTTCACACGCTTTCTCTGTCTTGACTCATTCGTCAGACATGTGCATTTTGATCTTTTGGTTTGGTCTCTAATCGACAAACTGACTTTTCTCCTCAAATACCTCAACTTCTCTATTTCTATTTCATACATCTGCTTCGCTTATTCCTTACTCTTTTCTTTCTATTTTTTCTTTTCTTTCCCTTGTCATGTAATCACTGTCACTCACATACAAATACCGTCATAAAAATAAAACACAAGTTTTTCTAATCTTTTTCTATTTCTTGTTTTTCATTAGCTTTAGCATGTTCATTCACATTCTTCATCATTTGTGAGAACTAGACCTGGTCTAGTGAGAAGGCATTTTACTGCCTGTAATTCTGGTGAAGTAAAATAAAGTAACAACAACAACTTTTCAAACTTAGGACAAACAAATTTGTCTGTTTCGGCAGGATTCGGGATTACGATATTGACCATAACGACACGTGAAATGTGCATATTAGCATGTCCATATGCACAAATCACCACCTTCATGATCTCCAATCTCCTTGCTCCCAAATGTATTCCTCTTCACGTTAGTCACGTGTGGTTCTGAGCCAAATTCGCCCTATTTATTGATGCCTGTGGTATGTGGAGTCATATGATGCACACGGTAGTTCTAGGTAACACCCCCTGGCATTTCGGAACTGTACTAAATTTTTGAAAACACAACCCACTGCCATTAACAAGATACAAAATAAATAATAGTTACAAAATTTGGGGAGATTCCACCCCCCCCCCCCCCCCCATATAACAGCAATCCCATTTTGAAATTCGAAAATGCATCATAATGATGCCTCCGGTACTTCTAGGGTTAAGGAGGCTCCAACCCTTTGGGGTGATTTTTTTCATGAACCCGCTCCTTTTTGGGCATGAGTGCACTATTTCAGGGTGTGTTTCCGTGGTGATACGGCTGTTTCAGGTGAATTTCTAGGGGCGGGTGTGTTTATCGATTTCGGCCTAAAATTAGTCTTATTTTGGGTCATGTTTCGAAATTTACCATTGTCCTGCCTTCTCTTTGTGACTGCAAGTGCTTTCACACATCACAGTGAACCATTTCAGCTAGAAAACCAAAGAAGTGCAGCGTGACACAAGAACAAGGGAGGTGCTGAGAGCAGCGGAGGCGAGGAAGGCCCCGCAACCCCTGTATCTCAGGCTCGTCTGGTTTACCGAGCTGCACGTGTGACCCCTCCCCCCCCCCAGCTTTAGCTATATCCTGAAGTCTTCACTGTGTCAGAAGCGGTATGTCGGTGAGGCATTCAGTGTCGCAAGAGACCGTGTCGAGGAACACCACTGTGGAGCATGTCGCAGGATGCTTGACAAACCGTGAGGTAAACACCTGGCGATTGATCACCAGCAGCACGGAACCATCAAGAGCACATTATGTGAATTTTCATTGAGGTCCAAGTACTGGCTGCGGAGACACGGACGGCCAGAAGAAAGATCAGGACATCCATCGATGGGTAACTGGCCCGTAAAGCTATAATTATTTAATATCACAAAATACCATCTTGCTTATAACTGTCAGTGTTGGACACAAATTACGGAAACATGTAACATTTTGGTCTTTTCTTTTTAAATCTAATCTTTGGCTCTCGAGTTGTACTATCACAATAACGTTCTTTTCTCCAGTGCATTCACCGATTGTGAATAGCAACTGAATAGAGCGTTGGCCAGTGGACAACCCTCATTTTGTGGACAACCCCATTTTTTAGAACACGGAGGCTCCACTGCAGCCAATTCATATCACGATCAGCCACCACCACCACCACACCAAGGTCGTTGACGCTGCAAATTCTATTCAAAAGAAATCTCCAATTTTTCGCCCTTGGGGCTTCATCAGGGAGTAAAATAATAATGAAATGAAACTGGCTCTGTAGCAAACTATAATCGCAGAGCATTGAGACATTGAGACATTGGCACTACAGAAGTGAGGAGAGGAGAGCACGAGGCATCATGCATTAGCACTATAACAAATGAATGGTGAGGACAACAAGAGGTGGTGCACACTGGTTACATGGTGATAATCACACAAAGTGAGAGAGAAGCGTGAGAGAAGTGTTAAGGGGGCGCAAGGGAACGCAAGCCAGAGCACACCATAAGAGTGAAACGTGTAACGTGGAAGTGCAACAACCGCACATGCACAAACTCAACAACAAATGCACACACACACACACACTCTCTCTCTCTCTCTCTCTCACACACACACACACACAAACAAACACACACACAAACACACACACACACATACACAGAGAAGTGTCCTATTCCGTTAAAGACCATCTCTCGTCCTCATTGATTTCGGGCCTTCTGTCCCTGATTTCAATCGCCTCCCTTAACGTTCGGGTAGATAGAGATGTCTCACGACCCACGATCTGGGCGTTGTTGAAAGGCTTGAACTCCGCCGCCGCTGTCGCCTCCATCACATTGCCGTGTTGCGTTCTGTAGTGGAATCCCCACGGGGATTTGGCCACTCTGCCCCGTGCCTCCCGGTAGTGCTCGCCAAATCTGACATGTAGAGGATGCTCCGTTTTACAAACATACTCCTTTCCACAAACAGTGCAAAACATAGAGTACACAACACCTTTCACCACACAAAGACTATCAGGCATACCCGCATCGCATGCTCTGCATTCTCTCGGCCGCCCACGTTCTCTGGCGAGCGAAAACTGTGGCAATCAAACAAGTCAACAAAGTCAACAAGCCGACCCAGGGCGGGGAGGCGAGGAGGCTCCTTTGGCAGCGGTGCTTAAGCTACCATTCATCAATGATCGCCTTGCGAAGAGTCCGTCCATTTAGTCCTGGTGTGCGAGTTGTGCTTACGTCCAGGGGATCATTACGTGATGTTCTGGTGATTGCGTCATCTGAGCATCTATGCTGCTTACGTGAGAAGCAGAGGAGGGACAGAGGACGTGAGCGGCCGAGAGAATGCAGAGCGTGCGATGCAGGTATGCCTGAGAGTCTTTGAGTGGTGAAAGGTGTGGTGTACTCTATGTCTTGCACTGTTTGTGGAGAGGAGTATGTGGGTAGAACGGAGCGTCCTCTACATGTCAGATTTGGCGAGCACTACCGGGAGGCACGGTGCAGAGTGGCCAAATCCCCGTGGGGATTCCACTACAGAACGCAACACGGCGATGTGGTGGAGGCGACGGGGTTCGAGTCTTTCAACAACGCCCAGATCGTGGGTCATGAGACATCACTCCCAAACCGAAAGATAATGGGGGCGATTGAAATCAGGGACAGAAGGCCCGAAATCAATGAGGACGATGGATGGTCTTTAACGGACTAGGACACTTCTGTGTGTGTGTGTGTGTGTGTGTGTGTGTGTGTGTGTGTGTGTGTGAGAGAGAGAGAGAGTGTGTGTGTGTGTGTGCGTTTGTGTTTGAGTTTGTGCATGTGCGGTTGTTTCTCTTCCACGTTACGCGTTTCACTCTTATGCTGTGCTCTACCTTGCGTACCCTTGCGCCCCCTTAACACTTCTCTCACGCTTCTCTCTCACTTTGTGTGATTATCACCATGTAACCAGTGTGCACCTCTTGTTGTCCTCGCCATTCATTTATTATAGTGCTAATGTATGACGCCTCGTGCTCTCCTCTCCTCACTTCTGTAGTGCCAATGTCTCTATGTCTCAATGCTCCGCTATTATAGTTTGCTACAGAGCCAGTTTCATTTTCATTATTATTTTACTCCCTGATGAAGCCCCAAGGGCGAAAAATTGGAGATTTCTTTTGAATAGAACTTGCAGCGTCAACGACCTTGGTGTGGTGGTGGTGGCTGATCGTGATAACCCCCATGTTGTTCAAAAATAAAAGTAGGAGAGAAAATTGGTTGATTTTCCTCAATTCTTGAAATGCTATTTTGAGGTTAGTCCAGATCAGCTTTGCGCCACAACTCTTGCAACGGGTCGCACCTGGTGTTTCTCAGAAGGCCTCAGGAAAAGAGCTTGAAGGGGATATAATTACCGGTATAAATATGTTGGGCCAATAACTGCTCATTTTCATGTTTGTAGTACATGTAGATTCAGGTTCAAATCAAATAGTGGCAGTAAATGACTGCCATCAATCATAGCACCCATTAGGTGTCATAATGCTAGGGGTGATCGACTGACCCAAACTCCTTATTGACTTGATCCAACCCTATCGACTGACTATCGACTGGGTATCGACTGACATTGCCCTCACACATGAACACAAGCTCACATATGTATCCATACATGTTCTGTTATGTTGCCTTTATTTTACTTCACCATAGGTACAGGCATTGCTGCCTTCTTGCTGTGGATCACAAATGATGCCACAGCTCCTAGGCTATGATGAAAAATATAATAGTATGATAGATTAATATGATCAAATATGAACAGCATGGGAAGTAATAAGGTGTCATGACTGTCAGCAGGACAATTATAAAAAAATACCATGCAGCAGTGTATTTTATGTGTGTTGTGGTTGTACATGTAGATAATATTGATGATGGACAGGGGACAGAACGTACTCATGTGTCAATAGCTAATGGAGTGAAGTGAGATCAAGATCTGAAAGAGATTTTTTGAAATGAACAGGGTTTGTTAGAGAGCGGGTAGCATCGGGTAGAGAGTTCCATGTGTTGCTGCCCAGAAATTGGATAGAACATCTCCCAGCAGGCACATGTATGTGTGCATGCATGGTCACACACCCATGCACAAGCAAGCAGAAGCACAGCACGAGCACATTGCAACGTTCAAACAGACCCCCGCGGAATGTGTTTCGTACATTTTTTATGCCAGACCTGGTGTACCTATGGGCTTTTGCATGTTAGGTATACGGTTTACACATGGTGCGAGTTGATAAGGGTTTCCTTCTATCGACTCAACCCTATGGATCGACTCAGTTATTCCACCCCATACTACTATTCCCAATAATGTGGAATGACCACAAGCGTATGTGGGTACATGCGCATCTGCACACAATGATACCTACACTTAGATGCACATACTCCCACTCACAAACAAGTACAGTAGGTATCGGTTATAGCGTGGGTGTTTGAAAAACAACCATAGTCAGCAATCGCATGTCACCACGTACATTAAAAATCAACATAATTTTGCGAATCGACCTTTTTTTCAGGATCACTTTTCAACGAGGACGAAGCAAAGTCGGCCGAATGAAGCCTAGAGGAAGAAAATCACCCTCTCCACTTCACCATCACGATACTGACATAGATACGAGATGAAACAACTAAAAAATCCACAAGAAAACTGTACGGCCATCATCGCGCTGACTTTGGTCTGACTTTGGTCTGAGAATTTCTATCACGATCAAAAATGTGCGAGGAGCACTCAAAAATAAGCCACAGACGTACCTTTATCGCTCTCTACTCCTTTTTCAAGGCACAAAAGTCGACTCTCCACTTTCAAACCAGGAACCAGACATACCAGTGGTCCTTTTCAGCTGCTCCACGAGCACAGAGAGACTGCATACCTGAGTACATGAGTACATGTATGAGTACATGCAGAAAATAGTCAATTTCAGCGTTTCTGCTCCAAACAGCAACTAGCTTCGACTAGAAACAAAGATTACACCAAAGGATCAAACAACAACCATTTTCTGCAGTTTTTTTGCAGATGGCTGCCCAGCACGCCAAAAATCACACCTCGGAGGAGTACAAAAATTACAACTCTCAGATGTCCTCGATTGCTGACAATGATTTGATTCTTATTGCCGATATTTCTTACACACGATAAATCACGTGTGACATATGTGACATACAGGTATCATAATTATAATTATGCGCTCACGTTTGGCATGTGGACATGTACAATCATATACAATCATGTAGGTCTACACATGATACACACGGATCAGACTCGCGGTTGTGCTAGGCGACTGCGGAGCAGCACATACAAGAGAAGTCGGAAGAAAGAGTCCGACTGGACAGAAAAAGTGATTCTCCAATGCTCAGTTGGACATAACTCTCTTTTTGTGTTGAACCTTATTGTATTGAGTATGCACAGAGCACAGATGTTATAACTACAGGCGATACACTTTGCACAAATCTGGCATATTTTGCTACACAAAATCCATTCTTAGGGCCGGTATATTCTACTATGCGATAATAATGCTTGTAAGAATAAATATACACATAAAATATGTGTTATGATTATGAAAAAATGAGTGTTCATTCTTGTAGGCAGTATATTCTTGTATACGACCAAACAATAACCGATACGCACTTTACACTTGTTGCACACACAAATATGTAACACACGTGCACCTGCAGTAGCATACACACACACACATATAAAAGGCTTTCTCTTGAGTGTAGACACCATATTAAATAATCAAACCGTCCACATACATGCACTTGTGGAGGTGCGCATGAGCGCACACAGTCGCATAACATTCGTGTACGTGCGAGCGAGCGAGCGAACGCACACACACACACACACACACACACACACACACACACACACACACACACACACACACACACACACACACACACACACACACACACACACACACACACAAATCCTTGATGCAGTACAACGCAACATTTACTCCACACGCCGACAATAGACAGTAGTCATACAATACAATATACTCATTTCACAGTGGCTCATAGCATCAAGAGTACATACCCCGCCCCCCCCCCCCCTTCCACCGAATGTGTATCGCCTGATCCAGCTCTGCATAGGGTCTTGGTCGATCGTAACGGAACTTTGCGTCATAATACCGTACACATCTGAGAGGAACCCAGGTAGTGGCGGGGACCCTAGGATCAAAAATAACGATGCCGTGCCTCCACACCGGCCTTGTGCTGGTGTGGAATGTACAAATGACATCGGAAGATCCGACTGCGCTCGACCACGGCCCTATGCAGAGCTGCGTGATGCGTAGGGGGCTGGGGTATGTACTCTTGATAGCATGCATGTGCATTGGAAGGGACACATGTTACGACTTACCGCGGGCGATGTTTCCAGCTGACAATTAACAGCTTTTGTAGTTTGTAGTTTAGGTTTTGGGGACACAGCTCATGCACATCTTGGTGGCGCATCCCTTCTCGCCATTGGTGTTTTCCTTACCTGAGCTTTCCAAGTTGGAAGGCTGTTGGTTTGCGCTTTGTAGATGTGTTGGATCTAGGTGTCAGGTCGTCAAATGTCTGAATATCCTTGCATGCTTTGTGCCTTGTTGTCGTACTGTCTGAATGGAAATTATCTCGTTACCGCCGGGGTGCGATAGTCATAACTACATGTACTAACTTATTGGTCCTTTTCTCTTTCCATGTTATAACTGGATCAACATCCAAGTTTCAATTTTAGCAGAATTGCGTTTTTTGAGCTTTTTATTGTGTTGAGTTGAAATCCTATTATACTGTGGTTGCATGTTAGGGAATTCGACTGGGGGGGTTGTGTGCTATTGTATTTACGTCAGAGTACATGTACAAGGATTACTTGTATGACATTATTCATACAACTGCCACGCTCAGTCAGCTAGCGCTAATATGGAGGCTGTAGCACTAGTAAATGTATGTTTTATTTATTTTTTATTTTATTTTACTAGAGCCACTATGTAGTCTGTACATAAGGCACTTTCCTTATGTGTGTTGGGGCATTCTATTCCGGTTCACGGAACACAGCACCTGGTTCTTGCTGTCGGTGCCCCATATGTTGTGGGCATACGTTGGTATTGTACATACCCGGAATGACATGTACACACGCATGTACCCCTATTGTCAATATGCTTGCAAAACGTTGCTAGCACCAGCCATGGACCACTCACATCACATGCAATGCTGAAAACAAATACTCACTTGATGACTTGCACATGACTTCAGCAATGAGTGTGTCTTTCTTCTGCCCGTTTGTTGCCATATTGAAAGCGATCGGAACATTTGATACTGGGTTAAGCACCCAGATGTAACGATTGGCGAGTTTGGCGTTGTTGGCCAGAATGAAATTTTGGATAGCTAGAACTTCGGCCAGCGTCATTAGCTCTGTGCCCACGTCCTCGCAAGCCATGATAGCCCGATCAGCTGTTGTGTTATAATAGCCGTAGTACCAGTGTTGTCCGCCGGATTTTTGGGATGCTTCACGAAAGCAGAATAAGCACAAAAGAAACTATTGAGAACATCAGAGGAATCACAGTTGGCTGATTTCGCGACCAAGCTAGTAATACGTCTGGTCGGCTGGGCTTGACCCTTTACCGGTCTACCATAAGCGTTCCGATACTATAGTATCGGTACGTTTGGCCCTCATTTTTTTGGGGTATTGTTCCTAGGAGACAGCTAAAATGGCGCTCTACGCGTAGCTGAGGTCCAAGGCTTTCTGACGATGTGCAAAACAACCATGCTTACCATACAATCTTTTGCCGTATCGATCGACTGAAGTTTGTTGAAATTGGAAAAGACGACCATCCGCCATGCGCGCATTTCAAGAATGCGAGTGCATCTCTTGGGGCCGTGTTTGACAAGCGGCCTGAGAGCAGTAACATCACCAGTCCAGGCTGGATCTCCCGGGAGGTTTTGCAGTGTAGTGTGTCGAGAAAAAGAGCTCCGTTGAGTCCTGCTAGTTCAAAAATATATCGTCCACGAATGAAGAAACAAAATTCTCCAAACAGAGAGGAAGGCTTCTTGCTGCCGACACGGCGACAGCGACTGTCACAAGGACTCGTCAGGTGCGATCAGCTGATTCGCCTGGCCGTGAGAATCACGGCATGCGTAAGCTCGCGACTGAGTACTCATCTGAGCGAGAGTGAATCTGACGCGAGCAGCGCTGAGATGAACAAACTGAAACTGCGATATCTTGGAATGGGAATTTCTGCTGCTGGCGTATCACCGATGGCGAGGTGTTGGTGTTCAATGGCGGTATTGTAGAGAGCCTACATTTCTTGTAAAGTCGTAGCCCTTACCTGATTGTTTATCGTACGACTTCAGCTCCATCACGAACTTGGCATGCCCTTCGTGCTGTGATATTCGTGTATTTCATTCGCAATTGTATTTTCTCTCAGCTTGTGGGGCTACCATGGGCCCTATCCTTGCCTGGACCTAGTCATATTTGAATTTTCTGGAAGTGTTCAGGCATACTGATTTTGAAAATATTTGGTTTACCCATACCTACATCACATGGTTCTTGAGTTATTGCTGGTTGTGTGTACATGTATTTGCGTGACCACCCCTCACATACATTGAGTTAGACCGGCAAAGGGTTAATGCACAATTACAAGACAGTAGACCACACAGTGAAACCTGTTATGGCGACCATTCGCTTACTTGCCGACCATACCGGTTTTCCTGGTATTATACCGGGAAACCAGGGTCACTACCGGCATACCGGGGCTTCTTGACTTTGATCGAATTATTAATGTTGGGTTAGCTTTTGGGCTAACCCTAGTTAGCGATAAGACCGATGCGCTGCTCTCTATCTCATGCTAGCTGCGACCGAGCTGGCTTTACACGTGCACTCAACTGCTGCGCATGCGCGCCCAAATCGCCTTGGGTAGCTCTTGCTGCGCTGACTTTGGCTTGCGCTTTCCTTTGCAGTGTCACTGAGCAGCAACCGGAATTTGTTAGAATCCCCTGAGACAAGGGCGTTGAGCCAGCCACGGCAATAGTAAGCTAGGAAAACAAAGCAAATATCAATAAAAGCAAAAAAAGGAATGGAAAATTAGAAAGAAAAACGAATAACTACCGGTATTGGCACTGAACCATGAGTCTTCAAGAAAAGGTTTTTTTGTGATGTGGCGAGGGCACATGCGGCCCTGCATTTCACCGAATCACACATGCAGGGGCGTTCTGACAATAAAGAAACTCAGGTTTTGGTCCCCTAATGAGCAATGGGTTAGAAATGAATAAAAAGAAGAAAACTGAGGATATGTCCCCCAGCATCCTTTTGGGGTTTTCTTGAAATAACCAATTTGGAATTTTTCCACTCGAACATTTTGAATATGTCCAAACGCATACCTGTGCAGGAAAGCTTGCCCTCTCGGATGTCAAGTCAGCAATTTCTACTTCAACACAACTTCTAATGCTGGAGAACAAAGTGTATTGTTGACTCTGACAAGGAAAAGCAGTGGTGGTCACTTGTAACTCCGAGAAAGACACGCTTTTCCTTGCGCCACCAACATTTTCCTGTGCGACATTTGATGCAACGGCGAATGAAGTTTTGTGTGTAGTTTTTAATTATACGGATTTTTGGTCTTTGATCACTTAAAATGGTGTTAGATCTACCCCCCCCCCCCCCATCTACCAAATTAGGAACTGAATCGGTGCCTTGATCCCAGGTCAATGATGGTTTCACACACATGCAGAAAACACATATGAACAAGGCTTTCCCCAAATCGCCCCTTTTTTGTCGCCTATTCGGTTTTCGCTCAGCTAAAAATACGTCCAAAATCAGCTGATTGTGTAGCGTTGGTCACGCGTTGGTCAGGCTACAAGCTCAGCATTTGCGTATACGCTCTGGGTACTGTTCAATACGAGGTTCACTACAAGCTCAGCATTTGCGTATACGCTCAGCGTACTGTTCAATACGACGTTCGTTCTACCATACAACGGTCGCATGACAGTACGTTGCTGTTTGTGATTATTTTCCATTAGCATCCACCACCTCACAACAGAGCAACCGAGTTCTGCATTAAGCTGGGAGTGCTGATTCGAGCAACTGGTATAATGGCTCTGCTTGGAGCCGCTAGATGGGTCGCAGCTGAGCCAGCAAATGACTCCGCTTGGAGCAGGCGAATGACTCCGCATGGAGCCGGCAAATGACTCCGCATGGTACCGGCAAATGACTCCGCATGGAGCCAGCAAATGACTCCGCATGGAGCAGGCGAATGACTCGGCATGAAGCCGGCAAATAACTCCGCATGGAGCCAGCGAATGACTCCGCATGCAGCCGGCGAATGACTCCGCATGCAGCCGGCAAATGACTCCGCATGCAGCTGGCGAATGACTCCTCATGGAGCCGCCAAATGACTCCGCATGGAGCCGTCGAATTACTCCGCATGGAGCAGCCAATTACTCGGCATGGAGCCGCCGAATGACTCCGCATGGAGCCGCCAATGCCTCCGCATGGAGCCGCCAATGACTCTGAATAGAGCCGCCAAATGATAGAGATGCATAACCAGTTGAGAGCATATATTCTCAAGGACTATACAGATACCGTCATGTGTGCGCTGAAAACATGAGTAGAGCTAGTGGGTGGGAGGGTGGGAAGGAAATTGTTTGGGAATACCTGTTCCGCAAGTTGCACGCTCGAAAATCCAAACAGCAATGACATGCAAGAGACGTTGTACAGGATTTTGAAGGGCGCGTGCCCACGTGACTCGCACATGCGTGCAGGTTGGGACAGCTCGCTGGGCTGGCTGCTAACTCGCATTAGCATGCTAACGCTCATTTAGCACCCCCCACCTCACAACAGAGCAACCGAGTTTTGCATTAAGCTGGGAGTGCCGATTCGAGCAACTGGTATAATGGCTCTGCTTGGAGCCGCTAGATGGCTCGCAGCTGAGCCAGCAAATGACTCCGCTTGGAGCATGCGAATGACTCCGCATGGAGCCGGCGAATGACTCCGCATGGAGCCGGCAAATGACTCCGCATGGAGCCGGCAAATGACTCCGCATGGAGCCGGCAAATGACTCCGCATGGAGCAGGCGAATGACTGCGCATGGAGCTGGCAAATGACTCCGCATGGAGCCAGCGAATCACTCCGCATGGAGCCGGCGAATGACTCCGCATGGAGCCGGCGAATGACTCCGCATGGAGCCGCCGAATGACTTTCGCATGGAGCCGCCAAATTACTCCCCGTGGAGCTGCCAATTACTCCGCATGGAGCCGCTGAATGACTCCGCATGGAGCCGCCAATGCCTCCGCATGGAGCCGCCAATGCCTCCGCATGGAGCCGCCAATGACTCTGAATAGAGCCGCCAAATGCTAGATATATAGAGATGCATAACCAGTTGAGAGCATATATTCCATAAATCGGCACTCCCAGAGCGGATCACAAAGTGCAGCTACCTGTGAAATTTGTAAGCAGTGCAAGCTCGGTAACGATTGACTAACAGAACTCGATATCACGGGCTGAGGCCATTGCCCCAGCCACCCATGCTTTGGCCGCGGGTGGCCTCTGAATGTTACTCGGGCAGACGTGGCTTTCCACCTTCCCGCCTCTCTGAATATCGAGTCCGGCAGCTGATTCAAAACGAATGGCCGGTGTATAACGCCAGGACATTAGCCACAACTGATGAGCAAGATTTTCGCAGTTGCTGTAAAGCCGATCGATTGGCATCTGCAGCTGGTGCCGCTAGCTTTCCCAGGTGCTGCCACAATTGCAAACCACTCTTTGCGATTGACTGGTCTGCTTCATTGAATATCCATTGCCCTATCCCCGGTCGCAATTGTTCGCGCACCAGCCAAGTGCACCACTTGCATCAGTGAATAGCAGCAAGTTGAGGGACGGCGTAGGAAGAAGGACCGGCCGTTCTACTATTCCAGGAGCTCAGGCCATCAGCGAAGATAGTTGAGGCACTCTTCGGAGAGCTTGATCAGGTAATACGGCTGCCGGTGCTACTTGGCAAGTGACCACGATCTGCAATGTGCGTCCTGGGACTATCACTCTTGTAGCAAACGAGAGCTTTCCCAGAAGATACTCGAGTTGACATTAGGTAGTTGAAGCTGTGTTGAGAGTGGCCCGTAGGTCGTGAAGCTTGGCAAGTTCGTCCATCGGCAGACTGATGTGAGCGCGCGGGTGTCCAGGGTGACGCCGATAAACGTCAGGACGTGAGCTGGACCTTCCACTTTTGCTGGCGCCAGAGAAACACCGAGGTATGTAAACGCGCGGCGCCGAGTAGCGAGTTGCTGGCGAGCTAACACAGGTCCAGAGCATACATCGAGGAAGCACTTTTGCTGACGCCAGAGAAACAACGAGGTATGTAAACGCACGGCGCCGAGTAGCGAGGTGCTGGCGAGCTAACACAAGTCCAGAGCATGCATGGAGACAGAAACGTTAGTCGAGGTATTTCCCGTAATGGGAAGATGCCAATAATGTCAGGACTTCAGCTGGACCCTCCACTTTTGCTGGGGCCAGAGAAACA